GCCCATATCTGAGACATGCACTCTGCTCCCCTTGTTTAGACTGCAGTTATTTATTTCTTGAATCATTCTGCTGCCCTCATCACAGGGAGGAATTCTCAGAAATATGGATCTTGCGTCATAATCAAAAGGTGTTCTAACTCAAGTTTGATATCCTATAGTTCCTCAAAAGCCACTGCACTGATTAAAACATGCCCTCAACTCCTTTGCCTCAGTTGGGGCTTTAATGGCCAAGATTGTGTAGAGGAAAAGTAGTGTGGACAGTCTCCTAGAAAGAAATGGTCCCAAAAATGACTGAGTCCTGGCAGTTAGAGAGCTTCTCAGATGAGGAACCTAGATCTCGAATCCTGCCATCTGAAAGAAGACAAAGGGTGCATCTTATTCCAGAAAAAAGTATCCACATACGCTGTGTCTACATTGGCGCGATTATGCGCCAAAGTGGCCGCTTTTACGCAAAAACATGCTGCCTGTCTACATTGGCGGGGAGTTCTTGTGCAAGAACACTGACGTTCTAATGTGTGAAATCAGTGCTTCTTGTGCAAGAACTAAGATGCTCCCGCTCAGGAATAAGCCCTCTTGCGCAACTGTTCTTGCGCAAGAGGCCAGTGTAGACAAGCAACATGAATTTCTTGCGCAAGAAAGCCCGATGGCTAAAATGGCCATCGGCGCTTTCTTGCACGAGAGAGCGTCTACACTGGCACAGATGCTCTTGCACAAAAGAACATCTTTTGCGCAAAGGCATATGCCAGTGTAGACGCTGTCTTGCACAAATACTCGAACGCAAAAACTCTTGCGTTAAAGAGTATTTGCGCAAAATCTTGCCAATGTAGATGTAGCCCAGGACTTAATTCGAAATAAACTATGTAAATTGAGCTACGTCAGTTGTATAGCTTATTTTGAATTTGAAATTGGGAGTGTCTACACAGCACTTATTTCGAAATAGAGCACTCTTCCTCCAACATCTCTTACTCCTTGTACAATGAGGGTTGCAGGAATTGAAGTAAGAAGTCCTCTAGCTTGACAGTATTTCAATATTATTTCGAAATAGCTGCCTGCTGTGTAGACGTGGACTAAGTTATTTTGAAATAATGCTAGTTATCTTGAAATTATGTTTCTTAGGGTAGGTCTACACAGCAACATTAGGGAAGACACTGAGAAATCAAGTGAAAGAACTTGTGTGGAGGGATAACAGGAGTTATTGATGTAATGGGGACTTGATTAAAGTTAGGATTGGAGGGAGAGAAGGGCAATGATATTGGCCACAGGTTTAGGGAACAGAGCACAGTAGTAACTAAGCTTGTGTGAGAGAGGAAGAGACAAATGGAACAGTAATTTGAGAGAGCTGTTGGTGGCTGTTGAGGAGGAATCAGTATAACTAGGTCAGAGACTGGATATGGGCGAGGTGCAAGGAGGTATCCATATGGTGTGTGAAGAGTTCCCTAAAATTACACTATCTGGTGAGGTTGGAAAATGGGTCAGAGTGGGAAGCAAAGGAAAAAGAATTGAAAGGTAATTAAATTTCATTTTTGAGACCAGATGTGTAATGAGAAATCAAAGAGGAGCAATCATTGATAGCTTGAGGTGGTTAACCATTGTTTTCTAGTAGCAAAAGCCTTCTCGATAAGTATTAGATGACTAGCGAATAGTGAACGTACTTTATTTAGAGAAGTACTCGGTTGAAAATAAAAATTCTAAATGTCTCAATCAGATGTTGTAGGAAATGTTCTTGATTTTTTTTTTAAGTACACGCTAAAAATAATAGAGTTGTTAAAATGTGTGTAACTGCTGAAAAATTCATCAGTTACACACAGAGTTGGGTAGGTGGCTCCTCTGGAGTGAGTGCATGCAGGAAGCTGGCTTAAAAGCTGGCTTTTCGTGCATACTGGGAGCCTGCATGTAACTGTAATGGTTAACCAATGAACCCAGGCATGGTTACACTTTCATATCCCTAGTAAAAAAAAATACAAGTTAATCATGTGAATTAGCTTGGCTTTCTGAAAGGTAAATCAAGTGAGACAAATTAAATTATTTTCTAAATAAATCCTATAGGTCTACATAGAGTGGAAGCAATCACTTTAATGTTTGGGTTTTTCAGAAAGCTTCTACATAATGCCTTATTTTACAAATGGTTAGTAAACAGTTGCCCAACCCATATTTAAATAGGTGAGGAACTTTTCAGTGAATTGAAAGCAGAGAATTGACAATAAAGGTCTATTGTCTTTTGTGCTGGGTTGTAGGAGAGGATTCTGCAGGGCTTTGTGTTTTTAATTAGCTCACTCCTTTTTAAACTATGATGAAAACCCTACACCAAAACACTCCCCAAGCTTCAACAAGTAAAATCACTAAACTTAAAGAATTCCAAAAAGGGGGTGGGGGGGGGAGAGAAACTCAGAAGCTAGGGTGTAGTGGTTTTACAGGGTACCGTATTTTCCGGCGTATAAGATGACTTTTTATGCTAAAAAACATCCCCCCAAAATTGAAGGTCGTCTTATACGCCGGGGCTTTTCTCGCCCCGGAGGACACAGACTGTGGGACCTCGCGGTCCCGCCGCCCGTATACTCCGGGGCGAGAAAAGCTGCTCCGCGTCTCCCTGGTCTGCAGACCAGGAAGACGCGGAACAAAGCCGCTGCTGGCTTCCCCCGCGGCTTCGCAAAGCCGCTGCCGGCATCCTCAGAGGCTTTGCTCCCGGTGTCCCTGGTCTGCTGGAGACGGTCCCCAGCAGACCAGAGGCATCGGGAGCAAAGCCGCAGCAGGGGCGGGGTCCCGCGCCTCCCCGGCTTTGCCAGAGCAAAGCCTCAGAGGCACGGGACCCCTCCGCCTCCCCAGCTTTGCTCCTGGTGTCCCTGGTCTGCTGGAGACGGTCCCCAGCAGACCAGAGGCATCGGGAGCAAAGCCGCAGCAGGGGCGGGGTCCCGCGCCTCCCCGGCTTTGCCAGAGCAAAGCCTCAGAGGCACGGGACCCCTCCGCCTCCCCAGCTTTGCTCCTGGTGTCCCTGGTCTGCTGGGGACCGTCTCCAGCAGACCAGGGACACCAGGAGCAAAGCTGGGGAGGTGGAGGGGCGCTGGGGCGCTGCCGGTTGGCCTCTTAAGGGGGGGTAGTCTTATACGGAGAGTAGAAGACTAAAACCTATCTTTTAACTAATAAATTAGGGGGTCATCTTATACGCCTTATACGCCGGAAAATACGGTATGTAATAGATGTGGTCATCAGACTGAGGTGGCTTATGAAATGTAGTATGTGTAAGTCTAAAGTTATGCGCTTGGCCAGAAATCCTGTCCAAACCAGGTTGTAGTTAAATGGCACTGAACTAGTTAATGCTGCATAGGAAAGAGTTTTGGGGGTTTCTTGGTCAAGCGTATAATGGCTGTAAAGCCTGACAGGATGTATAATGATGAGTGGAGGGTGTTATTGAAGGCTTAGAGTTTTATGCTATTTATAAAGCATTGATTAGACTGCTTTTGAAGCACAGTGTCCAGTTTTGTTTGCATTGCTTCAAGGAAAAATTATAGCAGAATGAGTGAGAATATGCTTAGGGCATCAAAATTAAGGAAAGTAACAGAACTGGGGTTATTGGTTATTGATGACCTTTTTATAAAAGTATTTAAACCAGCTAAAGTGTGTTGTGAAGCTTAAGATTGGTGAACTGTTTGGTTATGAGAGCAGAAGTTTTTATGTTAATTAATAAATATAATATAACTTCCTAAAATCTTATTTTATATAAATAGTGGATAAACTGAATGGTCCTCCAAAAATCGTAGAGAAATAGAGCAGGATTTATCTAAATGGGCTTTGTCAATTTACACTTGCCTTAAAATTAATTGTATAAAACCAAGTTATAATTAAGTCTGAAACCAATAGAAATATTTCACAACTAATTTTAATTTCAATGCAAGCAGTACTTAAGCAAACATTCCCCTGCAGTTGTTGAAAACTAAACATTTGCTGCAACATTAAGTATTTGAAAGTGAAACTGATTTTCATTGCCCAACCTGAGAGAGAGATATGAAAAGTAGAAGCATAAATGCTAACAGTCTCAATGCATTTGTCGTCATTTACTCTTAATATCTGCTGTGTAGTGACATAGGTAGACATTTGTTACAACTCAAGATTTTTACCTCGACAGCGTGCCAATATTAGCAAATGAGCAATGGTTTTGGAATTGATACTATAAAGGATAATTTATGTATTGCTTAGTAGTAGCTTTTTTGGGGTGTGCCAGGAAGAAATACATGGCTAATTATGCTTTTCCACTCCCATGTCTGTTTGGCTAAGGATTTTGTGTGTTGTGCAAAAAAAAAAAAAAAAAGGAAAAGCTTAACCCTTTTCAAAACTTCTGTTAATTAGATGTGGGAATGGAGCCAAAATCGGGGGAAGGGAGGAGGTATTTGTGAAGAGGAACTCTTATAACAAGATGGAGCTGCTTTATAATATAAATGAAGAGTCCCTCTCAGGGTCTTTGTCCTAATGTCCAAATACTTCTGTAGGGTTGGCTCAAGCTACCTGCCAGATCACCTCTGTATCAAGCACCCTGATTTCCATGACAGCAGCCTCCCACAGGTACAATGAAACTCATCCCTGGTGGAGGAGGAGGAAGAAAGGGGCTTTTGTGTATTGCATACAGCTTTCATGGGATTTACAGTGTGGAACTGTCTTCTGCAAGAGACTGAGTAACCATGGAAATAAATATATTTGGAACAAAAAATGGTTCTTCAGTGTACCTTTTTCAGTTTCTTTACACTTGTTCATACAAATATGACCAAGTAAGCAAATCCTCTGAATTTACCAAGCTTTTTCTCCTACAGATAGTAACAGAAGAGGGAGAAATGGTGACTTTAAAAATACTTGGGAGGTATTCCAGCACTCTGGTAATGGAAAGCCATATCCTACTCTAGAGATGTTTCAGACACAAAGGACTTGCTTTTATGCTACTCTTTTAATGGCTCCATGACTTTACATTTCCTATCATTAAAATGTCATGCACTCATTTTGCTTTTGTTCTGTAGGTGAGACACAAAACTTCAGACCAGGTGATGGCTTTGAAGATGAACATGCTGAGTAGTAACCGAGCGAACATGCTGAAAGAGATTCAACTCATGAACAGGCTCTCTCATCCAAACATCTTAAGGTACTGCTTTTTTCTTCTGAGTATTAAGAGTGCAAGGGAGGGCTTCCATTTGCCTTTTTTTTAAAGGGTTTTGTATATATCTGGATCTTTCTTGGCTCCAAAAGATGGAGAGCCTTTAATTTTTAAAATAGGATTTTTCATTCTAGAGCATATTGCCTACCTAGTTTGGCATTTTGCATCCAATAATAAGCAATAACTATTTCTTGAGGAACGTGGAAGTCTTCATAGCTTAATTGTCCCTACAATCAACTGATATGAAGGAAGAGGTTTGATTTTTTTTTTTATACTTACTTTTGTGAACGGTCACATAATAATATAGCTTCACTATTTTGATAACTACCTATGAGGGGTGTGTGAATTTTACAGGTTAACTAGTTGTATTTCTTCTGACTTGTTAAATTTATTGCCCTTCAATTTTGAGTGGTCCCTTGTCTCACAAATACAAAAACAAGATAAGAAGGATCAAAGACTAGAAACTTCAATTAAATTAGACCGCTCTGATTAATACTTGTCTTTTTAAAGGCTAAATTTTCCAATAGCTTGTCATAGCTCATTTTCAAATACTTCTACACATAGTGTGTGTGTGTGTGAGTGTGAGTGTGAGTGAGGCAGGCACTGATTTAGAATAACATTATTAGAATCTAATGTTATGATGATTATCATCTATACAGTATACCCAGGTAAACTTTTTTTCCTCTCTGCCTGCTGCTGCACAATCGGCAGACATCCTGACTGAGCTATAAGATGATACTGAAGTTTTTTCTTGGGAAGTCCATCAGCCTTGGAGCCAGTCAGTGTTTGTATGAAGCATAGACTCGTGTTGCCAATGCGGATTACGTCATGTTAATTTAGTGAACCATTAATGTGCAAAATTCACCAGAATGGTTAGATAGGCAATGTTTACTAAATGGAGATGACAGTTTGCTCTTCCTCCATATTTTTAAATAATTCAAGTCCCAGTATCAATCCCTGGAATATACTCGCTGCTGACTTTCCTGTTTGCTGGAACAACTCTTAAGCAGTTATTAATGCAAGGCAATATACTTTTACCTCTTTTGTTTTCCTAAGTAGTAATTTATAAGGATCCTTATCAGAAGTGTTTGAAAATCCACATGAAGTACCCCACCAGTTGAAGTCAATCTATTTTACTATTTTTTCCAAGTTGCAGTTGGGAGAGGCACAGTTTTTTCTTACAGTAACCATGCTGCTTTGACCATACCAGATAATACTTATCCAAGTGTTGTACCAATCTTTCCTTAATTGACTCTGTTGGTTTTCCCTTTACCGGGGTAGGGCTCTCAGATCTAATTCCCAGCATTTCCATTGTTGTCTACGCCTTTTAATTTTTTAGTGGCATCATGTGGGCAGCTTGCTTTTGTTCAGGAAAAATAACTGGTATAAAGAATATTCCTCGCTACTTTTCATTCTGAAATGTGTGGCATGATGATGTCTTCCTGGGTAGCTGATTGAGCTCCACTGGAATACTGTTGGGAAGAGACGCCAACAGTAAAACAAAGTATCTCCGAACACTCATCTTGTTTTGCAAACTTGATACAGAAAGCAGTCTTACAGACTTTCTCAGAGTCAACCTGTTTCTTTTTTTGGCATGTGCATCATCACCAGTAATAGAGAATCTATCGGCCAAATGCTGCGTTCAGTTACATCTCCAAGTAGCCTTGCTGCTTTTAGTGGGGTTGCAGGGATCCATGAGAGCACAAGTTATTTGGCCTAATACAGAGGTAACTGGATGAAATGTATTGTCCTGTGATATAAGACTTCAGACTAGATGATGTGATGTTGCCTTCTGGCCTTAAGCTCTATGAATTTATGAATGATTTGAAGACAGTGGAATAGCACGGATGCCCCTGAAATGGAGCAGTAATTCTATTGATTATATGTGAATCCAAAGATAATCTGTTTGCTCTCCTAATGGTTCTGCAGGGCTGACAATCAATCTTTGTTTCCTCCTACTCACCTTAGGTAAGGAAATACAACTCAGATGATGTAAATAGACCCCTTGTTACTTGGCTCACCTGTTCCTTGCACGTGTTCACTTTTTCGGAGTATAATTCACTTGTTTTCCAAATTGCTTAATTTGAGGCTTGTTCTTTAGGGAAACTTCATTGTATTTTAAAATTGCTGATCTTTGTCTTCCCTATTGAATAGCGCCTCCTGAAATAGGATTTTCTTCACTGTCAACAGTGTTAAAATTGTATTTCACTTTGCCAGTTTTTCAATCTCTCACACTCCATGCTGATTGTTGCTGCTTCTTTCTATTTTAGGTTATTGAGATTGTCCTCTTCAGTTGTATTTCAGAATTGAGCTCTACCTGGCATAGTGCATATTTCAGTCTCTTTAGGATGGCTGCGGCAGGATTTCCACCTCTTAATGGTGCCCCTTTCTGTACACCAGCTAATGACATGAAGTGTTTCCCTGTTTATCCATGTATATTTTACTTTATTCTGTTTGTTAGCCCTGATGTACACCAGGAGCTTTGTCAGAAATAACCCCCTCAGGTTTGAATTAGTAAGCGATGTGGAATTCAAACTCTGTACTCCTGCTTTTCATGAAGAGTAATGCTGATTTCGAACTTGTAAATCTGAAGTAATGTTAGCGTGGATGCTCCACTACCTCTAATTCAAACTAATTGGCCTTCAGGAGGCTTCCCACAGTCCTTCCTGGGGCTCTGAGTCCCGGGTAGCACGTGCACATTAACAGTTTGCCTCGGACTAATTTCAGTGCTTCCCCTTAGTGAGGACACGCAAGTTTGAATTTGTTAAATCGGGAGTTCTTAAGTCAAATTTGGTAATTTCAAAAATTTTCTTAATGTGGACATGGCCTTATATATTTTTTAACTGAGGACTTTACATAATATGTGCCTCTAATTCATTGTTGTAAGAAAAGAGCCTATACTACAGGCTGACAGGCTGCTAGTTGTGTTCATGAAAACTTTTTTGTTTGTGTGTTTATATCTGATATGCATTTGCTTTTGCAATGGATAATGGTGAGGGGGGAGAAAGATATGCATAAGTCTTGGCTAACTGGAACCTGGAGCACTATCAGGTATTGATCCTCTCATTAGGAGAATGTTCTCTAATAGTATAAAAACAAGTAGTCCTGTGGCACCTTGGAGACAGGTCTACTCATTGTTTTTAAAGTTACAGACAAGCCCTCTGAGACTGTTATGGTATACGTATGTTGAAGGGTTTTCTGGAATTCATCTACAGGCAGTCCCCGGGTTACATACAAGATAGGGACTATAGGTTTGTTCTTAAGTTGAATTTGTATTTAAGTCGGAACTGGAGACTGACCAGGGGCTGACTACAGGTAGCCGGAGGCAGAGTTGCTCTGCCCCCAGCTTCCTGGAATCAGCCTGATCAGATTCAACAGCTGCTGAATCTGGACCCTGGGACAGAACAGCTGGGGCGCGCGCTGCCCGGTAGGTTCCCACAGGACCAACCCGGCAGCACCCCAGCTGCTCTACCCGAGGCGTCCCGCAACAAAAGCCTGGTGTGCTGGGGGGGGAGGGGAGGGCGCACTGCGCCCCCTCCCCCCCAGCACACCAGGGAGACCCGAGCAAAGCCTCACAGGCGGAGGGACCCCGCCGCCCGTGTGGCTTTGCTCCTGTCCCCCTGCTCTGCTGGGGGGGTCCAGCAAAGCCGCTGGACCCCCCCAGCAGACCAGGGACACCCGAGCAAAGCCGCCGCCTGGGACACCTGAGCAAAGCTGCTGGACCTCCCCAGCAGACCAGGGAGACTGGGAGAAGCTTTTCTCGCCCCGTTCGTAAGTGCGGATCCGACATGAGTCGGATCCGCGTAAGTCGGGGACTGCCTGTATTTGGATAAAAAGAGAGCTGTTCTTTCTTAATATGTAACTTTTCCATTCCAGGGATTTTAACACTTTTTGTCATCACTTAAAAATCTGTCCTCTAAAATTCTCTTCCTTTGTCATTTCTAGAGAAGTTATTCTCTCTCATGATATTCATTGTGCTGTGGTCAATGTTTGACTAATGCATATTCTTCACTTGACTCTGAGGTGAACTCTGGTCTTACATAATCAGTAAATATAAGCCACCTCGTCTCTTATAAGCTCTGATCAGCTGTAAAAAGCAATTGTTTTATGGCAGTGGTTTCAAAACTCTGATGTGGACATCACCAGTTGGCACCATTTCTTGTATTCTGCAGACTGAAACCGTTTTTATGTGGTTGGGAGGATCCTTCTTCTAGGATGTGGTTTGCAAAACTATATCTGTGTCTTTCTGGTGTAGATAGTAGCCAGGAACCTCTTTATCTCATTGATGTTTGTTGATGCATCACGTGTCTGACACTAAATTAGATGGCTTCTTTTCATGAACATTCCTGTTAACCCACACTTAACTTTTATATTAGAATATTTAAGCTACTTGTATTTTTATTAATTGAATCACTGTCATCACTAAATTATTTAATTAGCTTCATTTAGTTGAAATTCTACTTTTGCTTGTCTGCTGTCTACATTGCCTTATCCTTTTTGCTGGAAATTCCTGCCTAGTTTCTTTCTCGTAATCCACAACCTCTGACAGCTTTGGAGATCTGATCTGAGTGCATCTCAATACTTGATGGATTTCTTTAATTCATGGTATTATGGGGATTTATTTAGTTTTTTGTTGCTAAACATGTAGTTTACTTGCCCATCATCAGAGGGGTAGCCGTGTTAGTCTGGATCCGCAAAAGCGACAAGGAGTCCTGTGGCACCTTACAGACTAACAGGTGTATTGGAGCATAAGCTTTCGTGGGCAAAGATCCACTTCTTCAGATTGCCCATCATCTTTTGCTATGCCTGTGGGGTTTTTTCCTCCTCCTTATTCCAAAGTCATATTTAGGCACACTAGTTTCAGGATGTTCTAGTTTTTGTTTCCCAGGACTTACTTTGTATTAACCTCTGTTGCTGTCCTTATCCAAGACTTTTAGGATCATTTGTTGTTCCTGTTCTGGGTGTGGAATAAGTAGTCTAGCTGTATT